AACATGAACAGACAGTTCTCCAAAGAACACATACAGATGGCCAACAGACACATGAAAAGTTTCTCACCATCACTCATCACCAGGGAAATGCAAATCAAAACTAAAATGAGATATTACCTCACACCTGTCAGAATGGCTAAAATCAACAACACGAGAAACAACACACGTTGGCAAGGATGTGGAGAAAAAGGAACCATCGTGCCCTGTTGGTGGGAATATAAACTGGCACAGCCGCTGTGGCAAACAGTATGGAGGTTTCTCAAAAAGTTAAACATAGAACTACCTTATGGCCCAGTAATTGCACTACTGGGTATTTACCCAAATAATGCAAAAACACTAATTCAAAGAGATACATGCACCCCTACATTTATAGCAGCATTATTTATAATATCCAAGATATGGAGGCAGCCTGAATGTCCATCGATTGATGAATGAATAAAGAAGATGTGGCACGTATACACAAAGAATGAAATCTGCCCATTTGCAATGACATAGATGGATCTAGAGAGTATAATGCTAAGCGAAACAAGTCAGAGAAAGACAAATACCATACGATTTCACTCACATGTGGAATTTAGGAAAACAAAACAAACAAGCTTAGGAGAAAAATAAGAGAGAGAGAAAGAGAGAGAGAGAGAGAGAGAGAGAGAGAGGAACAAAGTCCTGACTACAGAGAACCAAGTGATGGTTACCAGAGGGGAGGGTAGTGGGGGCATGGGTTACATGGAGGACGGGGATTAAGGAGGGTGCTTGCTGTGATGAGTACCATGTTGTATGGAAGTATTGCACCTCTATACTGTACACCTGAAACTAATATAACACTGTGTGCTAACTAACCGGAATTAAAATAAAACCTTTAAAATTTTGAAAAAAACATTCACCTTATAATCCAGGAAGTAGAGTGCCACATCAAACACAGACCAAATTATTTGAAATTGAAGCATGTAGAGCTATACTGAGAGATGAAATCATGGAATCTATTTTTAAAGCATGCACAGTATGGATAAAGGGAACAAAGATGCGTTCTCATATGACACTAATAAGGGGGCATTTCCTTGAAGTATATGAGAAATGGGTTAAGGATCAAAGGAAAGAAACCCAGTTGCACGATGACTGCATGAATGAACTTTTTAAGATGTAATATGATGGAAAAGTTATAAAAATGAAGACAGTATAAGGAAAAATCAGATAGCAAAAATCCTATTTCATTGATCCAAGCAAAACACTGTAAAGATCAAGTTTTTGGCAGTATTTTGAGTCTTACACATTTATCTCTGAAAATAATTCCAGATCCGGTGTAGTATTCTTCATATTAAAATAGGAGCAATTATTTGAGAACACGTCAAACATGTGTCCATATAGCCTTTTTGTCCTCAATATATAATACTTAATATTAGAAGTAATATTCTTCTCTCCATGGATGAACTTAAACTGATATCAATTTACATGGTTTCATGACTTGATATTATCTCATCACTTCATTTTCATTTAATATTTCCAAAGTACTAATAAAGTCACCCAAAATGTTTTGGGTTCTTGTCACAAGTATATAAACTCATCCATCTTCACCTGATCATTTCCCAGAGCTTTTTGTTCTTCAGTATCTCTCTTCAAATACTCCAGTTTCTCGTTTCCTATTTATGGCAGCTGTTGTCTACATGAGTTTTCTCAAAAGTTCAGTTTCACCTAGAGGGAGTCACATTGAGGGTGAAGTACAGCCCTGAGGTAAAAATGCCACCTTCAACCTTGTCAAACAGTGAAGAGAATTCAACTTCTGATTCTTCAATGTAGCAAGTGAGAATTGGGTTTTAATATCATCTCAAACTTACAATACACAGATGCTCGGGGCACCTGGGTGGCTCAGTTGGGTAAGCATCCAATTTCAGCTCAGGTCATGATCTCACAGTTCGTGAGCTTGAGCCCCACATTGGGGTCTTTGCTGTCAGCACAGAGCCCACTTCAGATCCTCTGTCCCCCTCTCTCTCTGACCCTTCCCTACTCACACTCTCTAAAATGAATAAACAGATAAATAAATAAATATTTTTTAAAAAATATACAGATGCTTGACTCATTCACTTATTAATTCTATTTATTGACTATCAGCTCAGTTCCAGTATTATCTTAGGTCCAATGTGTACAATTAGGAACTGTACACCCAGTGTCATGAGTACTGCCTGGACATTGCCTTCCTGGCGCTTATACCCAGAGCCAAATAGAAGACATAATGTTTGGTCTGTGTGTGACTAAAACAGTCCCTGGAGCATAGTAGGAGCTCAGTGGCAGTTCTGAGTAAATGAATGAATACTACTATTAATTATAAATTGTGACAAGTACTATGTAGGAAAAGAAGAGGCTTCTTTGAGAGAGAATAACAGTATGAAATGCAGCTCTCTGAAAACGCTGTCTCTGTAAGCTAAGACACCAACGAGGAGAAAGAACTAGAGATGTGTGCGGAGATTTGAGGCGAAAGAGTTTGGTTTGGTGCACCTGGAGACAGTGAAAGAAGGTTAATTAGATGGATTTAACTCAGTGAGGAAGCAGGATAAATTGCCAGGAATCAGACCTTAAAGCCATGTTAAGAATTTTCAACTGTATCTTCCTTTTAATGAGAAGCACTTTAACCAAAGGAGTGATGAGGTCAGAAAAGCATTGGAAAGCATTTATGTATTCCCAGCTACTTTGTGGAAGATGGATTAAAGAGAAGCAAGTGTGGAAATGGAGAGGAAGAGAGAATGAACACATGGTGGAGGCCTGGCCTGGAGTGAAGACAATGAAAAAGAGCATCCAGAGAGAAAATATGTTTGGGTGGCAGAAATCACGGCAACAGGATGCAAGAGTGAAAGAGGTACTCAGAATACTCCCAGACAGCAGGGCAGGCTCATTTTATTAACATAACAGAGTGCTTAAGGAGTTGGCAGAGGGCAAGAGGAAAGGCTATGAATAAGGTCAGTTTTGTAAGATCTTTTATCACATTAATGAGAAGTATGCTTCCGAATCATCCAGCGCGTTGCAATCCATATTTTCTCTCAGTGGTTCGGTTTTAGTTTTTCATTGCTCAGAGGAATAGCGAAGCTCTCCCTTTTCAAAGCAGGGGGGAGAAGTTGTTGACATAGCAACTTTTTCCAGCTTGTCGAGTGCTGACAGGCTTTTCCACTGGGTGTTCTGATTCCCTGGACCCGGAGGAGGGGCAGAGAATCAGACCCCGAGCTTGAGCACTCCAGATGGGGCTGCTGCCTACAAACTGACTACAAACTGATCAATGGAGAACTGACTGACAGCTGGCTCTCTTCTTGCCTGCCCTTGCAGGTTAACAAGGTGCCCTATCTTGGTCAAAACGGGCTTCTGGTTTTCATTTGAACCTTTCAATATCACAGGAAGCAAGCTGCCGAAGGAAGCACAGCTTGGTACTTAGGTGCTCTTAAAATAGTGGTTCTTAACCTTTTGGGGTTTGGTTATGGATACTCCTTTTAGAAAAGTGTATATGCAAACATGTGCACAAAATGTTCATACAACTTTAGTAAGTAGACACACCCACTGAAGCCAAATCATAGACCCAAGAATAGTTAACATCTGAGATTCCAAAGAAAATAAAAACACCACTTTGGAAAGATATATGCACCCCTATGCTTATCGCAGCATTACTTACCATAGCCAAGATATAGAAGCAGCCCGTCTTTACTAATAGATGAATGGATAAATAAGATATGCTATATATACAATGGAATATCACTCAGTCATAAAAAAGGATGAGACTTTGCTATCTGTTACAACATGGATGGATCTAGAAGGTAGTATGCTAAGTAAGATAGTCAGAAAGAGACAAATACCACATGATTTCACTCATTTGTGGACTCTAAAAAACAACACAAATGAATAAACAAACAGAATCAGAATCTATAAAAAAAAAAAGCAGAACCAGACCTATAAACACAGAGAACAAAGTACAAAGTACAGAAAACAGAATACAGAGAACAAACTGATAGCTGTCAAAGGGGAAAAGAGTGGGCAGTTGGGCAAAATGGTGAAGGGGGAAATACAGGCTTCCAGGTATGGAATGAATAAGTCTTGAGAATAAAATGCACAGCATAAAAAATGTATCAGTGGTATTGTAATAGCGTTGTGTGGTGATAGATGTAGCTATGCTTGTGACCTTGGCATAATATACACAGATGTTGAATCACTGTTGTATACGTGAAACTAATGTAACATTAGCAACTATAATGTAGCAACTATACATACATACATACATACATACATAAATATTTAATAAAGAACATCAGGATTCTATGACATATAAGTCAAGCAGGTCTCTTATCACCAAACTTTGCAACAAGAGATGTAGGAAACACAAAGGAAATAACTTCTCCTGAAAAAACAACTTTATTATGATGAGCCAAGATTCCATCCGACTGGTGTGCTAATCAATAATACCTTATCATAAACCTAAAATTATGGGTTTGGTGTCAGAAGACCTGTGTCAAACTGTACCAGTTGCTCAAGTGGATCGTGAGCAAGTCCTTCAACTTCTCGAAGATTCAGGGATGTCATTTTAAAGCAAGGTTAATAACAGTCATACCTGCCTGATAAAATTTTTGCATGTAAAAATATTTAATCGTTACTAATTTCTTTAGGAGTTCTTATTTATGTATTTATTCATGTTTTGCTTAAACCCATTTTCAAGGCAGCCACTTAACTGACTAGAAATTGTAGTCCATAGGGCCTCAGCTGTTGATGCCAGAAAGTGCTATTAAATGACAACTAAGGATTAGCACATTGAGTCGACAGAGTCTATATCTTTAAATTGTACATTCACAACTTTTATTTTAACTGTTAATATGTTTCCCAAGTTTCAAATTGCATTATTCAGTTACACAGCAAAATTAAATCAATTGACCCTTGGACTTTAATACGTTTGTGTAGCTCCATAACATCATACATAAGTGCCAAGTGTAGGCTTTGAATTTGACCCGTTACAAAGACATAGAGATATGGTCACTCACCTCTGTCACTGTCATAGAGATATGCAAACTTGTCCCACTGATAGTATTCAATCAAGCTAAGAAGTGCTCCTTTGAGGTCAGGTCTCATCTGAATGACAAATGGATGTGTACCATCTGTTGGGAAGCTGGGAGTGATGAAGGAGACATGGAGCGTTCCACAAAATGATGTGATGGTATTTACAGACTTCTTATCATAAAATCCAAAAATAGCATAGACTCCTCTTGAAAACTGGGAGCAGACTGAATAAGAAAAATAGAAAGAATAAATCATTGAAATTGGTATACAATCACATAGATTTGCTTAACACTTCACGCCCTTTCGGGGCGCGTGGGTGGCACAGTTGGTTAAGAGTCTGACTTCGGCTCAGGTCATGATCTCCCAGTCTGTGAATTCAAGCCTTGAGTTGGGCTCTGTTGCTGGTCAGAGCTTGGAGCCTGCTTTGGACTCTGTGTCTCCCTCTCTCTTTGCCTCTCCCCTGTCAGGTTTTCTCTCTCTCTCTCTCTTCCTTCCCCACATAATAAATAAACATTAAAAAACATAATGCCCTTTTATATGAAATATAAAATAATCAAATTGAAAAAATACAGTTTATATCAATGATCCATCCAATGTATGACCACTCAATGACTTAGCACTCTCTTTGAGGAATTCAAAGAATTATATAGCATTAAAAAGTAATTTTGGCTACAAGAAAATATATACATTACTCTTTAATAAATCTTGTAAGTGGCAAGTATTTTCGGAAAGCCCTATTGAAAAAAAAATATAAGTAAAAATCACTACTTATAAGAAGAACAAATTGCAGTTACCTGCCATTTATATACAGTCATAATATCTCATTGCCTCTAATATCTAATTCTTTAAAAGGATTTATTGTGTTAATGACACTTTCACACTAGAAGGTCAGAGAGCACATGAAATGTTGTAAGGCAGACAGAAAGTTCTTTAGGAAAAAATAAATGCAAGATTCATATCATACACAAGGAGACATATCACCAGAAAGAGACCTCTCACCTTGGGTCTCTCAGTCAAGTAGCAACTAAATGGAGTTCTGAACTCCTAATTTTTATCTTTCTCATGGACTTAACCTCCCTGTATGTTCTACTCATACAAAACAAAGAATATCACCAAAATACTTTGACTTAGGACCATGATTCTTAAAAAAAAAAATAACATTTTATTTTAAGTCCCCATTGTTCCACAATCCTTTACCTTCTAGAGATATTTTTATTTTAGTAAATGACATATGAAAATGCCTTCTCCGATCCCCTCCCCCATGTCATACCATCACTAATTATTGCTTATTCTAATACCTAAAGATACTCAAATGTGGTCCACTTATTTGTATCTCCATTCCAATCATCTAGTTCACTAACAGCCCATACATACACTGTACTTGCCTTGTGCCTGGCATGATCTATGGTACATTAACTCATTTATTTCTAAATAGAACTCTTGAGCCAAGAGCTATTATTATTCCCAAATAAGAATTTTGATAGGAAAGTTGAAACAGGAAGATTAACTTATTTGCCCAAAGTCACACAGCTAGTAAGTGAAAGATGCTGTGTTCAAACTTAGGCAGTCTGGAGTCAAAGTCCATGCTTTTAAACAGTGGATAATACTGCTTTTCTCAAATGGATTGCTGGAAAACCCACCTAACTTCCTTTCTTCTTCCAGTATTTCCTTTCCATTCAATTCTCCACAATATGGCCAGAATAACTTTTTGAAACACAAATTTGAAAATATCTCTAAGAGAAGCAAGGGTAACTTTGTCCGAGACTGATTCCTCTGAAATTCCGTATAGAAACCTCTGAAATTCCTCATGTCACAATGCTTAAAACCAAGAACTCAGGTCAACCACATGGCTTTAAATGATTGCATAGCTGGTATTTTTTTTAATCTCAAGGGTCGACTCAATCCAAGGAATGGAAATAAACTATCCAGTAATATAATCTAACAATTTAGAGCATAATGCCAACCATCCTCTCAAATTAATCCCATTTAAAGGATAAGAGCAATACAATCTTATTTAATTTTATTCCTTTACAGAAATAGAATATCTGTAGAAAAATAGATGTGTTTTGTGAATAAAAGCATAGCTAAAATACAGATTCTAAAAACCAATTCCAGACAATCAATACATAATAGGCAATAATTTTTAGCAACTATTATATGATATAAAAGGAAAGGAAAGTAAGATAGGCTATTTCCTTGAATGGCTTTTATTTATCAAATATTCTCATTTTCCTTTACATATTTACTAACCTTCAACTCACTTCTGTCTTTCCAACATAAGGTTTCTAGGATTTATAGATTATATCTGACATCTCCTTTGTTACCAATCTTCTGTAGAGTAAGTCTAATATGTCTCAGAAAACAACTCAGGAATATATTTCTTTAAATTTCAAACTTTAACATAAAATAGAGATGAGATTTCTGCCCTTTATTTATGTTCATATTTTGTCCTCGTCTGAGTACAGAAGTTGAAAACAACCTTTAATGTGTTTCACTAGGCTCATTCTTCACGTAAGTGAAAAAACCCCTTTCATCGTTAAAACCCTTCTGAGCAAATCCTGTGGTGATTTCTTATTTGTACATAGATATATGTGTACTGACATGTACACCTTAAATCTTAAGTTTGTTCAGAAGTTGATGATTCCATATGACATATAAAAAGTGGAAACTGCTATAAAATTCTCTCTGGGTCTGTTGTACTTCATTTCCTGTGAAGTGTTGGGATGTCATCTAAATACTACAGGAATATCGGGTGCTCTGGTTAATTAATGAGATCTCTTCTTCTCATCGTAAGTGAAATAGCGTTTGGGGTGGGAACAGCAGCCACAGCATCGGCAGAATGCTTGATAAAGGATGCCCCTGTTTGAATGCATAGACAATCTTAATAAGGAGGCATACCTTTCATTTTCCATTTGTTATAGATTCTGAAGTGAGTTGTCAAGGGGCCTCCTCGTTATAGTGGCCATCTGGAAACACTTGGCTTCAGCCCAACAACAGGCTCAGGCTGTACAAGACTTCACAAGAAATTACAATTCACCTGCTTCAAAAGGCACTTTTTTTTTTTTTCAGGCAATTCAGCTAATTCTCCAATAAGCATAGTTTTTAACAATGCCCTTTCTTTCCTGACTATCCTTTCTTCCTTCCAAATCTTTTCCTTTATCCTTTACTTCTTCGTGGTACATAGTCAATGGTCTATTTGTCAACATCTTCTTTTTTTCTAGATACTTCTCTTTTAATGTCCCTTTGCTACACATACAATTAACGGTCATTTGGTCACCATGCTCATTTCCCTCTCAGTCACTGCCGCTGTTCCCAATCACTGAGATTTATAATCAGGAATCAATCAGAATGCTGACTTGAGGTGAGGTATTTTGTGTATCATCTCAAGATTAAAAAGCAAACAAACAAATAAAAAAAAAAACAAGAAACAAAACTTCACGCCACACTTCTAACATTCCATGCCCAAAGTACTCGAGTATCTTTGCATTCTGCTGATGCTTTTCCCAATATAACACAGATACAATGACGTGATACATAAGAACATAAGGTGCACTGCCTCGAAATTACTCCTCACTTGATTAGAAATAAAATTACTCATTGTGATCTCAACTTTATTTCTCAGCAGTCCATTCAAACTTGAAAGCTATTTCCCTAACTTCTATCCATTTTCAAAGACAGATTTACTGTTGCTGAGAATATCCAAACAATATGTCACAAGCGGTAGAAATAATTCCAAAGATAGCTTTCTAAAATTAGTTAGACAATAACAGCACACTACATATATTCCTTCTTTCCCTACATCATCTCTGGAGGCAGAGGAAGGAACAGAAAAGCTCGGTTTCACCTCTAGCTCCATGGCCCATACAATTACCATATGAGACACTATTAAAAATTTCTGAATGATATGATGATTAATATTAGAATTGCATTCATGTCTTAAGACTCAAAACTGATTGCAGAGTAGTGGGTAAAGATGCTCTTCCTGAGCTCTACTTTAATGAAATATTTATTATAAACTTTGAGAAACTCAGCAAAGGGAAGTCCTTTTAAAGACACGTTAGGTCAAACAGCAGAAATGATCATCTCCTGGGTGCAAGTAACTTGCTGATTATTCCACTTTTTATTACAAGCCCAGATGATATAAGCCAATAACAATGCTGATGGTGCATCCACCTCTCATCTTTTCCTCTTGGGTCATTCTGCTCATTGGTGCTGTTAATGTAGCATACTCGATACAGTCTGGAGAACCTCGCATAGTTATTTAGTGGAAATGGAGAAAAAGAACAAGGCATGTTTTATTTTGGTTTTACATTTTTTATACTAAATTGCCATTCACTTCAATGAAATGGCATAGGCTGCTTTATAAGCAATAATGGTAACAGCCCCTTTGCAGCCTGGGCAAAGTCTGGCAAAATCTACATCACCAAGCAATCCTGACTTCAAAATATGAGGCCCATTGAAATTCTCTCTCTCTCTCTCTCTCTCCCTCTCTCTCTTTCCTGCTCCAGTTAGGCTTATTCTCCTCCAGTTCCTTCTCCACATTGCTGCCAATGTAAAATCATACCATCTTGGTACCTTTCCTCTACCTCTAATTACCTTTCACTGTCTTATCTTTTTTTTTTTTTACATCCCAAATTAAAAAGGCATTCTCCAAGGACCAGTCTTCCAATTATTTGTCCTTCTCTTTTTACATCTTATCTCTTAGTGGTCTTATTCCTTTTAGCAAGGTCAAATTCAGCTTGTTACATATGCTTCCCAAAACTTCACTGGCACATCCGTTGTCTCCTTTTATCTATTTATTTACTGAACAAATACATACTGTAAACATTTGATGGGCTGAACATGGGATTAGGTTTAGAAAATGCCACAGCAAACAAGATAGATACAGTCCACCTCAGCTAGAATTGCCAGTTTAGCTCCAAACCCTCACCCTCCCATATCATTCATTGGAAAATGTCTAATTCCTTATCATTCTACTATATCCATATAAACAGGGTTGGGGGGAAACCTGAAAATTGTACCCTACAAATCATGTGTTTGTGTTGATTTTTTTCCCTTTCTGATCATGGCACCGTGAGTCTTCTAACCATTGGTTATTATTTCAGAATAATTAATTTGTTACTCATTGTTTGTCCTGTTCATGGCATCTCTAACCATCTCCATTTTGTTCTGCACCATCCATTCCACATTCACCACGTATTTTTGAGAACTGACTAGGCTCTGT